TTCATTTTTGATTTCTACCCACCACCATCCCCTTTTTATTATCCAAAAGTGTAGACAATATACAAGCTAAATTAACCCCATTTCTTTATTCCTGCCTTAAAACTCGTTCCCTTCCTTGGATATTTTATTACCTGGGTTTATCTCTGAAAGACTCAAGATCTTCAAACAGCATGATCATTTGAGGTTAATTCTATGATTTGCATTTAATAGCAGAGGATAATTCTCCTGCATCACACGAATTCAGAGAGTCTCAAATTCAGTTATACTCAGAATGACATCTGTGGAATTTACACTTTAATCTTAAATTATATTTTAGTAACTAGCAATGTTGTATAGAATTGTTTTAGGTGGTTTTTTTGTTTTGTTGCTTTTGAAATTTTACTGTTTCATCAGGAAACACTGGAATCAGCTTAAGACAATGTTGCTTCAGCTCTATGATACAAGCAAAAACATTTTACTCTCATAGCTTTTATTTACAAGCTCATTTTTTTTCTTTCAGCTTGGAATCATACATGTGGCAAGATTAATTACATTATTAATTGCATAATTACTCAAGCATTTAAACAGTTTTGTGGGTTTCTGTTTTCTTTTTTCCCCAATTTATTAATCAGCGTGCCCCATTCAAAATAAACAGTGAGGATCTTTATGACACGAGCAACATAATAAAATTGTACAATGCTTTTTTAATCACCTTAATGCCTTAACGCCTCTAATTTATATTCTCTGCACCCCCACTGACATGAACTGACAAAATTACACTCAACTTAGTGCTATTAGAACCACAGGTAAGTACTGGTAACTGCAAGATCTCTAGTTAACAACGTGAAAATTCAAGTGCTTTTTGTGATGACTTTCAGCATTTGAGTGTGTTAAAATAATTACAGTCTTGAGAAGAAGATTATTTTTTCCTTTGGTTTTGTATTGTCCTTCACTGTAATGTGGGAGGCTCTAAGATGACCTACAGGTTATATCATTTGCTCAATATGGACTTCTTTGAGACTGGGGCATGCTGTGCACAAATGTAACAACTGGAATTTTAGCAGCCAGCCTCTGAGAAGCATTGCTGACTGGTACAGAATGATTTTCTGGAGTCTTAATCCCTGGGTAGATTTTGCAGAAAACAACAAAACCCCCTCTCTGACAGGACAGCCAGTATGTAAGTTAACATTTTATAGCTTTCAGCACTGCTGAATAATAGGTAACGTTATGCAGAGGTAACTATCACAAAACAAATCAGGTAATGGTACTCCATTCCAATGCACTACAACTTTAAACACCGAATAACAAAGTAAAGACCAGCAAATTTTACTTCACAAAGTGTGACATGAAAACTCCTTAGACTTTCACAGAGGCCATCTTTTCCAAAATTAGTTATGAACAGCAAAATCAAGAGTACAGAGAATTATGTAGTGTTCAGATTTATCCTTTAGTTTATAAATTAATGCTTTTTAAACTGATCGTGTTTGAGGGGAGCAATTGTCTAAACACTACTCACAAAAATTCAAGTTACACTTACGTTCATATACTTTTATTCCTCTATGCAGTATGTGATGGAGAACAAGAGAAAGGTTTTGCATCCTTTTTGATGCACAACAGGGTCAATACTGCATATACATGTATTTGAGCTACATTCTACTGACAAGTTTGGAGATTTTTTTAAGTGTTGAAAAAATCACTCCTGTGAACATTTGTACTAGGTAGTTACTTGAGGTAAGGTTTTAAAAGTCTTTAGGTGGATAGCATATTAACAATGCTTGTCTAAATGTGATCAGTTCAACCAGCTTCACAAGTCATGGTAAGTTTCCTCAGAATAACTTCTTTTATGCTGTTACCCCTATCAATACAATGTTTTTGCAGTGCAATTGCTCAAAAATAAGTCATGTAAAAAATAACATGCAAAGGTCCAGAAAAATCAATGCTACTCCCAACACATGGCATTTCTGCCTGGGTCTCCATTTGTCTGTAGAAGTTGTGTATTAGAAGGTAGTAGAAAAACATAGATCTTTCAGACAGTCTGAACTTTGTCCTCGTTCTGTAATGTTAGAAGAAAGAAATCAGAAAACAGACAAACAGCATAGGTTTGCACAAGAAAAAGCTACTGGAGTTGAGACAGGACAGCCATTCCTGATGCAGGAGGAAAGCTTGAGTGTGCTTTGTACTCTGGAGAGAGGGTTCAAGGAAAGTTCAGCAATTTATCCTTGAAATTTGTTTATGGGTTGTGACCACAAATGCCACGGGCCAAATTCAGCCATAAGCAGGTGGAATTTCCTTTCAGCCAAAGCCAGGTTTGGTTCCAAGAGACTCAAAAGAGCTTTAGCGGCAAATCTGAAAGACACGTGTACTGCAGCTTCTACTACAGTCTGCTAATTCTGTTGCTGTGCTCATCTAGCGCAACACAAGTTACATCTACAACTGCAAGCTTAGATTACATGGGTCAACCAACTTTCTGAACAAATATTGTAAACTACTAAGACTTTTTTATAACCATTAGGTTCGAAGAACTACTTGGCTAATCTTGCATGACAGATGCAAAATATCTGGACAAGATTTATGTAAAGAAATATTAAAAACAGGGGAAAGGACTCATTGGGAAACCTCAAGGAGGAAACATAAATAATTTCTTAATAAAAACCAGCAAAGCAGACTGTATGACACTTATTAGAACAATAAATATGACCATATAGCTCCTATTAAAACTTCTTCCAAGGAGGTTTGAAGGATAAAATCTTTAATGTATGCATATCTTTAAAAACATTATTTCATGCTGAAAAACAAAGTTAAACAACCTTAAAGGTTACATATTTCAGAGTATCACGTCAGTAAATGAAAAAGTTTGGTTAACAATGAAAACTGTAGTTTTATCAAGAGGTAAACAATCTTAAGAGCTATGAAAAAAGGGAATTTAAATTACAATTTAAAATACAATACTGAATGGGATTAACATTTTGCTTGGATATTTTTAATAGGTAATTGCTTCAGACCTGACTATATTGAAGCCACAATAGGAATACAATGAAACAGGCTGAGGATGATAGGAAGTGGCCTCTGAGACAAATATTTATTCTTTATACTAACTGGGGAAAAAAGATGCAGAGAAGAATACTTCAGAAGAGAATAGCCTCAAGATGGTACAGTGTAAGTTTTGTATGAGTTCAAGAACTAACACAACAATAACCTCCTAACGTCATTTTACTACTTTACAAATGTAAGGAGTCCACAAGAGCACACATCTTTGCAATTATTTCAAAAGGCAAAGCCCATACAAAGCTGATGCTCCAACCTACACGCTTATACAATGCTAGGTGACACAGATGCCCATGTTCCCACTAGTATTCTAACACAAGTTGTTGCTCCTCTTGGTTGGTCTTACCTCCTCCCTCAGATTGATACAATCACTTTGTCTCTCTCTATCTCTCTCTCACGCCCCCACTTTCTACTAGGCTTGAAGAGCTAACCACTTTGGCAGTCAGGAAAATCAACCACTTGCCTCAATCTTTGAGCAACTTTTACTTCTGTTTCTTCCTCAAAGCTTTTCTTTGTTTTGGTGAGTATTGAATAATCATTAAAAAAACCAAATCATGGTGATTCTTTACTATGACTTTATCCAAGGAGGTGAATGCTATAATATGAAATAACAGCAAGCGCTAGTACTTGCATTATGCCTTTGGTGAGAATAACACAGTAGTAGTAAAAGTGGTTAAAGTAATCCCCTTAACATTTAAAAGGCATTTACCCATGGGGCAAATGAAAATTTGGGAAGTGGATGAACTGTGCAAGTCAGCATAATCTCTTTTTATTGCTTACTAAAAAAACCTTACACATTAGTATTCTCAAACAAGATCAGGCCATAAATGCTGAAACACTGTATTAAATGAATAAAATAAAGTATTATAACAATTCATATGATTTTTATAACCCATCATCACCATGCATAAGCATGTATCAGTCCATTGACTTTATTAAAAGCAAGATTCTGCTCTCCCACATGCTGGTCTATTGGCATAAAAAGATCATACAGAAGCAGCAGATGGGGTGAATAAAAAAGAAAAGAAGCTCCTATTGCAGGACAAACCACTGTAAACAACCTCTGATGGAGGCAGTTGCCTGAAAGTGCACAGGATGGCTTTGGGATGCAGCACTAGCTCACAGTGTTACTCTTATACATGAGACCAGGTGTCCACCTATGTGTGAGGCAACTTTCACGGGGAAAGAGGCAATATCTTCTTCTACACCATCCATTACCACTGGAAAAAGAAGGTGTGCTTTCAGGGAAGCCCGGGACTGCTTGAAATGTTGCTTTTTTCCACAGTTGTATCAGCACAACTTACAAGTATTCAAGGACAGGCTTCTAGTTTAGTCCCTGCAGTGGGAATTTGGACATACAAAGGATGTTGGGACACTTGTGCTCCCTTATCCTCTTTCTTCCCAGGCATACATATTGTAATAATCCTCAGATGTCCCTCCTGGTTACATGACCAAACATGAACAAAGGTTTCAAACTTACATTCCTTTGGTATCCTTTTCTTATGCCAATGAATTTACATTAGTTAGAGGAATGTGATTTATATTCTCATTGCTCTTTTCTTAACTACAAACACATCATCCCCCATTGCTTGCATGTTTGTCTGTTATATTAGCACTGCCCAGACACAAAGCCAAACACACTACAATGTAGTTCACACCCTTGTCATGTGTTGTTTCTTTATGAAAAGTTAACTTTTCAGAATATTTATATTGTTAACCCAATCTTGATGCTTACACATTTAAAGTCATGACCGCACTCTAGCACAGTTCATTGCTCACAACTCATGAAGTCACTGGAGTCTTAAAAATTCTGAGCAATCAATTCTATTGTTCAGTTACAGCTGTAAATTCTCAGCAGACAAAAAGATCACTATATTTTGCCTATTTCATACTACAAATTAGTATTTTTAGCTCATCACTTACATTTACAGAAAAATAAAATTTAGTATTTAGTATTGCTACTTCTTCTTCCTTACCTTCTCATATCCTCCTTTATGTGCAGATTGATCAGTTCTTTAGGAACATGGAAGGAGAGGGTGGTCTCAGCCATCTGTTCCCGGATCCGCATCCACTTGTTGTCAGAAGTAGGGAATCTATATAACTTACAAATTGGGTTTTTTAACACTGCAGAGAGGAAAAATTATATCATTGCTTTACTGTGGTTATATGACTCTTTGAAAATTTATGACAACAATTTCATCCAAAAATAATACATTATTCCCCCCCCACCCTTGCTTCCAGAATTAATTTTAGACATTACATTTTTATTTAATTTATTATAGCAGCATATGGAGGACAAAATGTTACTAGCAAAATAGATAAATCACATTTTACCCGCACAGTAGGTATCCTGTGAATTTAGAATTTCAGTATAGTGATAATGTAAATTATGCTCTCTATTCTTACACTTAAGATACAGTTAGGAAAAATGGAATGCACAAATAAACAATGAACTCACATACAGTCAATGCCATCACTTACCATCTGCTAGAATCATTCACATTGCTAATAAATTTCATGGGACAAGTGAAACATGCCTCAGAGTTTAGCTATATCCGATGCATCTTCTCCATGATATGCACACACAGATGTCATTAACACAAATAGATGGTGTGCATCTACATTAAAGGGAACTGGACCATTGACATAGTCAAGAGGACGCCATTTTAGAGTCAACTTGATCATTGACATGGTCAAGAGACTGCCACCACATAGAAATAAATATAACAATTCCGTAAATATGTTACACACACTGTTCTCAGATCACTGTTGTAACTTGACATAGGAAAATCACCTTACTCAGTGTCTTGGAAGGTTATGCTTAAAACCCACCATGTTTTTTATCTTAAAGCTCTCACATGTTGGCTACGTTTCCATTCAGATCTTACAATGATGCTCTACAATAAAGGTGGGAAATTTCTATTCTCTCCTTCCCCTTCCCCCTCCCCCCCCTTCTCTTAACTGATTTTCCAGAAAGAGGAAATGGGGAAAAAACTGAGAAAGAAAAGTTTTGTTTGACTACATTGATAAGTTTACTGGGAGACAAATGATTGTCATTTAACACATACATCCACTGCTTCCTAACTCAGAATGATGTTGGACAGCCATCCAAATCCTCCAACAGTACCCTTCTATCAGCCTTCTGGAAAAAGCTGCCTTAGAGCAGGCTCCCATTGATCTGCCACTGAACAGTCTATAACTCAAAGGAATGCATTTCCCATGTGCGCTGCAAGGAAACCGTTGCTGTCACAACGACACCTACTAATAGAAATTTCAGCTTCACAGCACACTGCCACCATTATTGCCTATGTAGGCTGATTTATAGAGAATGAAAAACACAGACCAAGTTACCGAAGATACAAAAACTGTCTTGTCTATCTAATCAAACTGTTTTTTAACAGAAGTTCTTTAGGAAAAGCCCAAAACAAGACCACAGATTCGAAGATATCTGTAATAAAACAGTCATTGGCAACTCATAAAGAAAGGAATGTTGTAAGTAATCATGCTTAAGTCATTGCAGATGTATTGCTTTCTATTGCCATCACTCTACTGAGATCTCTTTAATCATTAGTCTTCGATGAGAAACTGGAAGCCTTTTTAGAGTTATTTTGCCTTTATTAGTGATTTTACTTACAAAAACTAAATTCTAACTTACTGTTATGAAATAAGCCTAACAGATGCTTGATAGCTATGGCATATGAATAACAGCAATTTTTGTTTACTACTAACAGTCAAAATACCTCAATGTTCAAGCATCTTTACACACATTTTACAGCTTGAGAATCCTTACCACACAGACTTAATTATCGTCCACTACAAAAAAAAGCATCTCCAAGTCCTGTGCCTATGATCAACTTACACCCAGTGTCTGGGCTTTATTATATTACTTGATTAAAATACGCTGTAATGCTTTCCTATTTTCCTTCTCTTTTGCTGAGATTCTTCTAATTAACGAAATCAGTTTTGTCAATAATACTGACAGCCTCTGTCAATCCACAAAGTAGATACATGGCACCGATCATCTTCCATTAACAAGACAGGCAATGACAATCTTCAGATGTCAGGGAGAGCTCAAGAAATGAAGGGCTAATTCAGGTCTGCCTTAAACAGAAACCTGCCAAAACAGAGAATAATTTTGGGTTGGTTTTTTTTTTTTTTTCTGTTGTTGTTGGTTTTTTTTGTAGTGCCACCTGTTCACTGGGAAGAAGGCTGATACTTTTTACCAGGACATTTCAAATGATGATGCCTCAGAAAAGGCTCTTTTCTCTATTTTGCCTTTTTATATCTACTTCCTAAGAAGTTATCAAAGGATGTTTTTCAAAGAATAGCCCTTAAATTTGCACTCAGAATCTATTACATTCAAAAATTCACATTTGTCTGTGAGAACCTAATGCACATACGTAGCTCCACAATCTCTTTCCTCCCATCTTCCCACTATCACCACCACCGTCATGGGAAAAAAACAAAACCAAACAAAAAATCCAGCATGATAGCAAGGGAGACTAGGAATCACTTTGAAAATATGGATTGAAAGTTGCAAATTTTATCATTGTTAGAATTACTAAATTACTCTTCAGGTACTATCTCCGAGTCTGAATTTTCAGATGGGAATAATCTCAAGCGTGTTGCAAGTTTTAAAAAATGGCCAAAATATCTCTCCATGGGTGTATGAAGAAAATTTCATTTACAAACTCAGAAAAAAGCCTGAGAATTTTGTTTTCACATGGAATCCAAATAATTCTCTTTTGCAGTATTGCTAAAGCTTGAGATTGTCAATAAAAGCTGCACAATACTTTATGTTTTTCTTACAAACACAACTACCGAAGTCATGTGATTCCATAAAAATCTCAGATGTATTTTCCTTTCCAATTACAACAATAATTGCTTTCTAATTACAAGTTGTCGAAAAAAGAAATCTAGAAGGCATGTAAAACCCCCCAGTAAGAATGGCAAGACTAGATTTGGCTTTTATAAAAAGTAGTTCTTAAAATGAGTGAAAGTTCCATAAAGATAATCCTACTGTATTTAGACAGTGATCATGAAAAGGCACTAAAAAAAAAAAAAACAAATCCAGATGAACTGCAGTGGTTAAAAAGAGAAAAAACTATTTTAAAAGTCTTTCTCTATAGCATGAAGCCTAAAAGCCAATGCCATATATTTAACCATCCATATTTTTGGACATTCTCATTTTTAAATTTAAAGACCTCTGTGTTTTTTATTCCATGCAATATCCTTCACACTGCTTCCCCTGCAAGTAAAATAAAAAATTAATAAAAGATTGAATACTCTGTTTTCATTTTTGTTCCCTATCGAACATAGACCAAAGCATACCACTGCCATATACTAATTTGCAAACAGTGTTTCTATTTATATCTTCCTTTGTAGCGTAGGTGTGTTATGCATACCATCTCAGGAAGAATAATTTCAGCTTTCTTAATTTTTGCTTAATTTCAATTACTTTTTTTCTCTTTTTTATTGTAAAGCACAATATGTTTACATGCAAACAATTGGCAAACTCTCCAGTGTTGTAAATAAATAACTGAATTTTGAGACATATAAATTCAATCTCTTGGGGTATAAATGGAATAGTGATAAGCCTCTGTGAAATATGATACTCATTCCCACTCACTCAATAAGTGCCTCATAACTCACTTGAAGGCTGCGAGTTCCTTATATTAAGATTTAAATTTCAGAAGAATGCCAATGTGCATCTTTGCCTACAGGCTTAAAGATTCACATAGGGGTATTTTTTCAGTTTCATAGTTTTGAAGGCCTGATAAACAACATGAGACAGAAAGAACCAGAAATCTTTACAACAGTATACACGTGTCCTAAATACATACGTATATGGAATACATACCATGTAGATAGTTCTGTATGTACACAGCAGGGAAAGTAGTACAGGCAATGTTGACGTTATCAGGTTGCCTGTAATATACTTCTACCACATGGTAGAAGGAACCAAATGGTTCCTTTCCCTTCAGTCCTTGTTTTTGATTGCCTCTAATTTTGCCACACTGAAATTTGTCTGGCTTAAACTGATTTTTTTTTTTTTTTTAAATTTTCAGTTAAGATGGTCCAGCTGCACAAAATGAGGCCAGAAATCTGCAACAGAAAGTTCTGTGCTTTATAGACTTGAACTCTGTCAGTAAATCTTTGAGAGAGATGTGCATTTTACCATATCCATGGCAATCCACCCAGATCTAACAATGACATAAGCCTTGGGAGAGAAATCCCACTATGTAAAAACTCAAAACTTGAACTTAATGCCTCATACGTGCACCAAGGGTCTACCTTTATTGAAAATTCTTGCATCCTTCCCAGCTTCTAATACCAACAAAACTGTGCACGTGTCATTCGTACAGAGCAGATGAATACATTTTTGGGCAGAGCTAGTGTGTGGTACCATACGCTTAAGGGCAGCAGTGGTACCCACATGAGAAAGCCAGTCTCCAAGGCAACACAGAGAGCTTTGATCCACATGAAGCCCAGTCATGGAGGCAGGCTGGGGAAGAAGTCTGACTGGTTAGGCAAAGAGGCTGAGAGTATAAAAGGAGAGCTAAAATTTTCTAAGAAAAGAAATTGGGAATTCAATAAAAAGGATGGGGCTGACAAAACCTGGAACTGGTGCCAGGTGTCAGCAGGGAAGTGGAGGCAATGCTGGGGTGAGAAGAGGAAGTCACAAGTCCAGGAAACAGACTGAAGAATAAGTATTTATTAGAACAAACTTCCCGTGACCGAAAACTCTTTCCAATATCCTGCCTGCTGTCATTTCTTGTATATGCATCTGCAGTTCTGCTCTTTCCCCTCAACTCTTTTCAAAAACAAAAAATGACAAAAAAACTCCATGGTACGTTTGACTTTAGAAACCCTAGCGATGTTGGGTAGCGTGGGGGTTTTGGTTTTGTGTTGTGTGTTTGTAAATGAGAGCAATAAATGCAGAAATGTTAAGTGCTGTCTAGATATACTGTAGAATCCTGTGCAAATACTCAAAGCGACCTAACTTAATTATTCATAAAACTGACATCTGCCTTGGAAGTTCCAACAGTTCCAACAAAGTACATTCCCCAAACTACAGCATTTCCCCATCCAAAAAAACCCAACAAAAAACCCCAATCAAACCCACCCAATGGAGGCAGCAAATTGAAAAAAAATCAGTTGTGAATCAGTAACATTTTCTCTGAACAGAAATGTCATTTCTTTAAGACCCACTTATCTGGATAACATATAGAATCAGAATCAAGGAATGGCTGCACTGAGTTAGACCAAATCGTTCAACTGGCTCTGTATCTTGTCTCCAAGAAGAGCCATAAATAGATACCCAGAGATGCAAGATACTCTCCCTGCCTCCAGCTATTTTCAGTTCAGGTATTTCTGAAGCCAGATGTAGTTCCTGTGCCTTTAGTAATTCTCAATGAGTATCTTTTCCACAAACGTATCTAGTCTCACATTGAACCCATGAAAAGAAATGGCTGTTCTGAAGAAAAAATTTTTCCCTGCTTCTGATCTAGTCTCAACAAATCACAGCATTCATACATACATGGAAAAAACCTAGTTTTTGGAGGTTTCTAGTGCCTCCTTCAGACTGCAAAGCTAGTCTAATAAGTCTCCAGTCCTATCAGTGAAGTCATATGAAAAAGTTTCAGTAAAGGTTTTTAACGGTTTCAAAACTTCAGTAACATTTCTCTTCAACTGTATGCAGCAAATACACAGAATTCTTGACAGCGCTGTGGTTTCAGATGACCCATATAACTTATTTGTGACATTGTTACAGCAGAGTAATGGAGATTCATAAACTTGGGCTAATAAAACTTTTATGGTGCAGCATATCAGCATGCAATATTTCTCAATATAATGAAAGAGCGATAGATCTATTCAACACTGTACACTCAAGCCCAGAGTTGACCTAGAATTGAGAATGCCTTGCCAACAGCTTTCTTCATTTTAGGACATATAGCTTCCAGATCAAACTGAAATGGCCACTTCATCAGTTATGAGAGAGATTAATTCTCCAGGGTATGCAGTTGCAAATAATGCATAATTACTTTAATAGAATGTCATGCAATGACATGACAAAAACTTATGAGGCTAATTCCATGCCCACTGAAGTCACTGTTCAATGATTTTCAAGACTGTCAGTAAAGATGTAGGAGTAGGAGATTTTAGCAGTGTTTCAGAAAGCATAATTGACATTTCTGAAAGTTTTCCTCACGCTTCTCAGTAAAATGATACTGTCAAATACGTGTAAAACATTAAAATATTAAACTTAAAAATTTGTGCATCATTTGAAGAGCCTTTTAAGAGCTCTGCCCCAAATCTTTGTGATTTCTTCAGGATCCGATACAGTGTTGCAACAGTCATCTTTTATGAATGTTAGAATACTCACCTGCATTTAACGAAGGCAAGTTGTCTTTACCACTTATGCCTTCAGTGGCTGTACATTCACGAACCAATGCACACTACAAAAGAAATGCAACCACAGATGTAACACATTCAGGTGTTACAAGGAAAGTTCTAACAGTTTCTAAATGGCAGACTGAAAAACATCACTAATAACATAACTTCCCAACCCTTAATTATGATTTACATTTTTATCTTTACATTTTTGTTCCAATATACTGTAACACAATCAGAATTATAGCAGAGAAAACGGCAAAATATGATCAGCTATTCCATAATAAAACAGGTTTCCTATCAACACAATGGCAGAAGTTAAAATCATTTTTGACAAGTTCTGTGCTTTCAGAGAGGTTTCTTTTGACATGCACAGTGTCAGAAAGCACTCCATGAATTTTTAAACAAGGAAAAAGCAGGAACCACAGAAAGTCTTTAAAATGTGCTCTCGGTTTGTGGTTAAAGTCATTTGTTATACAAGTGAATTGGAAGATTTCTTCGATAAAATTAGTGTACAAAATAAAAGTAAAAAAAGTTTATGGAAAAATCAACTGGTGTAAACCTATGTTAAATGTACTAGGATGTATATTTTTAATGCTCCTCCTCCCCCCAGTCAGAAAAAAAAAACACCAGCCTCTAAAGGTGGTAGGGAGCTCTGTTCCCAGGGCTTCCCCAGTTTCCAGATGTTCTGTTGCAGAGCTCAAAGCAAAGAGCAAGACATGATGTAGTCTCCAGCGGTTGATATCTCAGACTGAATTTAACTATCACCTTACTCTGCCATGAGGAATTTCCTGCACATAGTTTATCTAATGAGTTAGCAAACCTAATTCAGAACTTACTTCTTTGAAGTAATTCAGTAACTCCACATTCTTACAACTACATCCTCACTATGAATACATAAACTAACCAAAAAAACCATGATGCAACTAATCCATAAAAACTAAGGACTCCTTTAAAGACCACAGAAAATACAGCTGTCACAAAGTTGGTCTTTCTTGACAAGTATTAGAACCCCCTAGAAAGATGCTATTAAAGCCTTCTGGCTCCCCCAAGCTCATTAAGCTCTCAAATAATTGTGAGAAATCTCATTCCGCATTTTGAAATGGAAGAAAAGCAAAATGGAAGAGAAGGCTGAAAAAACAGTTCATGTTGCATATCTTGTGGAAGTTTTATAGTACGAAACCAGAAAGATTTCACAGCATTTGTCGGCTTCTTTGGAACTGGTCCCACTGGTCCATTGTTTTAAAAGGGCGTTGAGGTCCTTTGAGAAGAATGGTGAAAAAAGAAGTGTAAAATCTATCCTCAGAGTTTGGCCCAAAAGCAGACTCTTTTGGTTGAGCAGAAAACACATTCAGAACAACGCCCTTTTCTCCAAAAATATATTCTTATATGTTACTTCCAAACAAAAAAGAAATGCAGTCCTTAATTTTACATCCCCTGTAGCATTACCTAAAGGCACTTTTTTTTTTTTTTTTTAATCAAAAGCAGAATACACCATAGTGTATAGCACTACACCATAGCATTAGGGCTGCAAAAATTCTGTCAGTGAGAATTCGGCTGCAGAGGCAGAGACACCAGGAGAAGGCAACTCTGTACAGGTATGTCAGTTGCCATCAAATAGGGACCCAGTTAAAGAGACCTTTTCATTAACTGCAAATCATTCAAACCCTGATTTCCTCATTCTGAGCAGTCATTTCTGCATCTCTCCCAAGCCCAAAACTCTTGTCATGATAGACAACCCATCCGTTCCACCCTCCCTCCTTTGGTTCTCCATTCCTCTCAAATCCACTCTCCCCATATCCTCCCCAGGCTCCACTGCTTTTGCCTGCAACAACCTGCCTACTTAAGAGCATTTTTGCTCTTTCCGAGCCCTTCTGTCCTTCCTTTTGTCCCACACCATGAGCACCCCAACTGAGAATCCCTACATACACCCTCTGGTCAACACCGCCCTACGCTAAGCACTCTGAGGCACCAGCGCGGCGCCATCCCTCCCGTTGATTTTCCCCACCACTGTGTGCTCCCATGAAATGCAGCTGAACCTGCCCCTTTGCAAGGGGATTCACCTCTTCTTTGGCTTGCCTGTCTGTCATTCTTCCCAGGTTTTCAGTATTGTGGGCACAGGTTGCACATAAAAATCCACGTGAACAGGACTTCAAGGGCAGAAAACAGAGGAACTGTCCAAGGGAAAAAGAAGTCAGATTTATGGCAACTCTACGGACAGTTTTTTTGATCAGGAGTGATTAAATATGGTCAGTTGAGGTCAAAATCAGCTCTTTTTTTTCCTAAAGAAGGGGAGGAACTAGGAAACTGAGGATAGAGTATTACTCTGTACATTTTCATGAAAAACTATATTCAGTTTAGGGAGATTAACTGTACACAGTACTTTATTCCAGAAATTTTTGGTTAAGCCCTTAACCCAATTTGGAATTAGTAATTTAGGCATTTGATACAGCTGATCATTCTAATTAACTTTGTGCAACGAACTGAGTTTCTACCTTTTGATCCTGGGCGTCTGATGTGATGTGGTCTGTTTCCCCATCCTCTAGCTCTCCCATCTTCACAAGATTGACTTCAATGGTACCAACCGTCTTTCCACCATCAGAAGTCCTGGAAAAAAAAAAACCATGACATTGGGTCATCTGCAGCATTGCATTCCTTCAGTAAAAATATTGTCAATAAACATTTAGTCCCCTTTCCATTCTGTGTAGCTGTAGTCACCTGTTATTTACAATCATAAAGCAAATGTTAACAATAAGGCATATTGTATTTTCTCCAAATTCTTTATAGCAATGAAAGTTTTCATCATGAAACTGAGGATGGGTAAGTGCTATAAATGGTGGAAGAACCCACGAACATTGCCAAGTTTTCATTCCAGACGTTATTCTGCCGGTGGACTGACAGAGAAAGGGCTGTAACATGTTGCACCAATACCCCACTTACAACCTGCAATCTCACTGCACAGTACACTGCTTTGTTTCCTAACGTAATCTGCGAAGAAAGGACATGCTCAGTGTATTAATAAGCCTCCTGCTAAACCGAAATAATGAAACTAATCTGAATATCACTTTTCCTTTTGTAGTCCCTCTGCAGAGTAATTATTCAGAATCAGTCCCATTTCTTTAACTATATGGGAGAAGATAATATAGTTCCAGGTGAATTCCTTTATTATCATCTCCGCAAATAGTTTACTTCCAATCAGGCAGAAATAAATAGCAATTCAGATTTACATCTCCAAACAAAGAGTACTGCTCACTACCTTTTGGAAGAAACAAGGGTTTAAACTCCAAAAACATACTGAATTCAGCTTTCACTGGTAGTAAAACACCGAGGCTAATGGCACAGTCTATCTCCCCTGGCTTATTCTGAACAGCTGGGGTTTAGGAAAGGAAGGAAAGAAGGGTAACAGATCATTTAATAATAATGAGGAAAGTGTAACAACAGCCACCAAGCAAAAAAATCGGCAAAAGGAAATAACAGGAATAAGGTTAGCAGAACTGCAAAAGCACAGAGAGGAAGAAGAATGAAAACGAATAGGTTTGGGGCAATACTGTGTACAACCTCAGAAGTGAAGATGAAAAGTGATGAAGCGGGACAAAGGAATACATAGAAGAGGGACTAGAGGGCTGGCAATAAAAAAGAAAAAACGACTTTCAGAAACAGTAATATTAGAAAAAAAGCGTTTCCATTAAAAACTGCCACATTCCTAGGGCAATCCTCGCTGCAGGAAAACATCAAAACCCCCCTTCAACACAGACACCCTTCCAGAACTTCAAAAAACAGTCCTCACATCATATTAGTAAAGGAAGGAAAAATCCCCCGAACACCCTTCTCCTCATGTCACCAACCAGGAGAAAGACAGCTCTG